GTTTTTTGTGCTACGAACTAACAGAGAAAATCCTGCAAATGCAATCGCCTACACTGATGATCTGGCCTTAACCACAACTGGCGATTGCCACATGTGTTGGGTAAGCTGCTGCAAAGCAGTTGGGGTTTCATTAAAAAAAAAATATATATATATATATATATATTTAATTCAACTTCCTACAATACACGAAATGAAGCACTTGCGCCGATATTATTTAATGACCAAGGTTCAAAGGGCGGCATGCATGCCTACTGTGACTGGCTGCTGCTATTCACGCTCTCTAAAGCCCAGGAAAACTTATTAACTGTTTGGCATGGGACCTTTTTGGGAAATTAGGTCGAGCTGTAATGCATTAGGACTATGGTTAATGCAAATACACTAGACTTGGTCACACAAGCCGTAGACATCGGATTACCACAGGGCTCAGTTTTGGCACCCCTACTCTTTAATATATATATAAACGATATTAAAAGTTCTCTCAAACATTGTAAAATAAAACTCTTTGCGGATGATGCCTTGTTAACGATCAGTGATAGGGAACTACCAAATGCGATTGTCAAAATGCAAGAAGATCTTAATTCTTTGTATCAATGGCTGTGTTCAAATAAACTCAAACTGAATGTGAAAAAGACTAACTTTATGGTATTTTCCAGAGCGGCAAATGCTGACTCCATAAGCCGTGAATTAAAAATCAAAGATGAAAATATCGAAGAGGTGAAAATTGTCAAGTACCTAGGAATATACATAGACAACAAACTAAAGTTTGATGAGCACGTTGAGTATACAGTCAACAAGATTGCTAAAAAAAAATTGGCCTTATAAAGAGATCGTGTAAGTACTTGGGAAGAAGATATAAAACGTTGGTGTACAGGTCAATAGTAGAACCGCACTTTATATACTGCCCCACGATTTTCTTCCTAGCGGGGGACTCCCATGTAGATAGGCTGCAAAAAATGCAAAACCGAGCGATGAGATTCATCCTCAACAAACCGTATGACACACCAACAAGATGTATGCTTGAAACCTTGAATTGGTTAAGCGTGAAGCAACAAGTTTTTTACCACGCTATGAAAATTGTGTACAATATTAAGAAGGGCAACCTGCCGGATTATCTTAGCGATAATCTCCGATATATAAATGAGACGCATACATATTTGTTGAGAGAGAATAACAGCTTCAGACTCCCGAAGTATAGAACAGAAGTGGACAAAAAAAATATTTTCTATAAAGGCTTAAAGTGCTTCAATGAATTACCAGAGGATATAAAAAATTGTGATACTATCACTCTTTTCAAGCGGCTGCTATTTGACTATTGTAGAACGCAGCCTACAAGATAGTGATGTATCAACAATAGCGTGGATTGGAAACTAGGCCTTTCCAACCACCAAGATATCGAGACTAGGCGGATCGGAAACTCGGCCTTTCCGACTACCTAGACCCTTAGATAATAAACAATAAACGAGCGGATTGGAAACTAGGCCTTTCCAACCGTTAACCGTCACGAAAGCGCGACTGGGTGGATCGGAAACTCGGCCTTTCTGACCTCCCAGGAGATATCAATAAATGGAGTAACCCAAAAAGAATAGCGCGGATTGGAAACTCGGCCTTTCCAACCGTCTACATAACTTCCAGGAAATTGTATGCGTGTATAACGACATAAAATAATTGCAGTGATAAAGAAATAATGTTATTTAAAAATTTCTGTAGAGCATTTTGTATTTTATATTTAATATTTAATATTT